GACGTCTCTAGACACTACATCGACTCGGTGAGAGATATGTATGATGGAGAGCTAACTAGTGTACGAACAACTAATGGAGAGACGAGTGAGTTTCAGTGACAATAGATTTACATCAAGGGTTAACATTGTGCCCATACCTCTTTGTCTTAGTTATGGACGACTTAACTAGGCACCTACAGGATGAGGTACTGTGCTGCATGTTGTTCGCAGATATAGTTTTGATTGATGAAACCCGAAACAACGTCAACACAAAGTTAGAACTTTGGAGGAATGCTCCAGAATCCAAAAGTTTTAAAATTAGTCAAACTAAGGCAGAGTATATGGAGTGCAAGTTTAGTGATAATAGGAGTGGAGACAAGGAAGTTGTTAAGATTGACAGCCATGAAGTAAAAAAAAGACTGCACTTTCGATATCTTGGGTTTATAATCTAGGAAAATGGAGAGATCGAGGAAGTTGTCACCCATAGAATTAGAGTTGGGTGGGTAAAGTGGAGATGTGCAACTAAAATTTTATGTGATCGCTGCATACCAATGAAGCTGAAGGACAAGTTCTATAGGACAACGGTGAGACCAGTTTTTCTCTATGGGGCGGAATGTTGGGCGGATAAAAAACAATATACCCATATAATGAGTGTAGCGGAGATGAGGATGTTGAGATGGATGAGTGGCAAGACAAAAAGGAATAGAATTCGAAATGAATCTATTCGAGAGAATTTAGGCGTGGCACCAATAGGTAAGAAGAGAGTATAGACTTAGGTGGGCTGGCCATGTGTGGCACCGACCAAGTATAGCACCTGTTAGGAGGGTGCAAGTTAGTTTAAGTGGATGGACTGAAAAGGGAAAGGGGTAGGCTCAAAAGGACGTGGTTGGTAGTCCGAAAAGGTATGGGGACTTATGGTCTAGTTAAGGATATGGTTTTTAATAAAGCAGAATGGAGAACCAGGATTCATGTAGCCGATCCCAATTAATTGGGAAAAGGCTAAATGATGATTATGATATGAGATGGCTTCTAAATGGGGTGAAATTTGCAGGTATCTTTACTGTTTGTGTGATTTGTCTGTAAAGCAGGCAATCTAAGAATAGGGAGAAATCTCGCGCTTGGTTTGATGATAGTATATGTTAGCATATCTTGTATTGCAATTCTCTCTATATTGGTTCTGATGTTCTGCTTGCCTTTAGACGAATGGGTCTTTCAACAGTATGTACAAAATTTTGATGGCTGAGATGTAATTATTGATCAAGTGTAAGGCTTTATTAGATTCTCAAATTTTAAGGCAGAACCTTCTCTGGTAACGGATGGAGAAATATAACTTTTGATCTCTCATTTGTTCATTCTATCACTTATACCCACTGATGAGCAATTTATACCTGCCATTGTTGACTCCTGCGCAATTCATTCTCTGGTTTCATGGCTAAAGTGCAATTCATTCTCTGGTATCAGGCTAAGGCATTAGCATCACGCAAGGAGAGGAATAATGCTTGTGGTATAATACCTGTAGGACATAAGGTTAATAATATTTGTGATTGATTTGTTTTTCATATAATGTAGGCATTGATACCATTGTATGTTACCTTCTTGCATATGCATGTGAAAGAGTTCATAAATTTATTAAATTTTTGACATGAAACATCAGTGATGATGAGTATTAATTGTAAATAATCATATGTTGTTAGTAGTTTGAAGCTTTTTATGGTTGTGCTTACTATTTTTGTCACGAAACTGTTAGTGTATACTTGTGGATAACTTAAATTGATTGATCATTTCTCCACAAATTCGGGATCTTTATTTGTTCTTTAAAGACAGTTTTATCACATGATAACAAGAAAAAAGATTGTCTAATGGTATTCGACATATATGCTTGTGCAGAATCCTAGTTGGGCTAGATTAGAATTGCATAAACATATAGAAAATACTTACGGTGTTATGAGTTTTTTATATTGAAATTTTCATGCTTATCATTTACTTTCATCCATTATTGATCATCATATTCTCCCTTTGCTGAAAGTTATCTACTATTTAATTGGAATTTTCATGTGTATTATGGAGAGTCCTTGAATAAATGTCGAAAGGATCTGTCACAAAAAAAAAAAAACCCTTAAGAGAGAGAATGTGGTTGCAGGGTTGGGTGATCCTACGAGACACAACGTTGAGCATTGAAGCGGGCCGGACTTTGGCAGCACAAATGAGATGGGATGCTAGGGTGGTGGAATTGGAGAACAACGAGGAGCGGCTCCTCATATGCCAGAAGCCATTTATCAAGAAGCCATGATTTGTGAAAAGCTCCACTTTACATGTGATTTTTGCAACCTCAGAATATACATACGTAATTTTCCAATTTCTCTCTCTGCTTGTGATAAAGCTATCCTTAAGGGAAAGGATGTTGATGTAAGAGGTACTCAAGACGTGACAAAGAAAGGAAGAGAAGCGCGGATTGGTAAGAGGCGATTCAATATTCCTATGAAACCTAAGGTTTCATAGGAGCTTGTAACATGCAAGAAAAGAAGATGGAGATAGTGGTCATAACGGGAATGATTGATATTCTTAAAAGAAAAAGTATTTGAATAAAAATTCTAGTGAACCAACAGGCCGGCAATAGATGGCAATGTTGGGGAGATGAGAGTTTTTGTACATGTGGTTGGCAGATGAAAAACACAATACAATGTCACAAATAGTGTGTACCAAATTGATATGAAGCATTTGGTTTTTTTCTGTTCTTGTTTATATTTTGCTTTATTTGAAGTGATCCTTAAATGGATAGTGTCATGAATGCAGATCTGGATTGCCCATTTAGCTTTCGAACCTACTCCCCATAGACAAGCTGCCCAAGTGTTACAGTGCATGAAAACTTGACAGAAATCTATGGATATGATGTATAGAAAGGGTTTTGTTTATCTGGTAAGTAGACAGAAATATGATATTCATTAACATTCGCATGCACTTTAATCAATCTACCATTAGCTGCATAAGATTCATGAAAGGCGATGGAGCCAAATAAATAACCAAAGAAGAGAGATAGAGACCCCTAAGCTTGCCAAAAAGATCACAAAGATCTTTTTTATCACAAAGGTCTTTACTCATTTGTGATTTGTGTTCATCATGATTCATGAATGATTTATTGATTTATGGCAAGTTTTATTTTCATCTTTTATAAACCTTTTTAGTCATGTTTGTTGTACTAATCATACTTTACCCGGAAAATGCCCCATATGAAATAGAGGACTATTCTGATTTTTCAAAATTAGTGGGCACCTTAGAAGGGGTTCACTCTTTTCTAAACCACAAAATATTGTTTTTTATTTTTTCGCTTTTGTTAAACCACAAAATATTTTCTAACAAACATTGGCAGAGAACTAGGTTTTAAGATGTTGGTTTATTGCTCTTCATCAGATCCATAATTATCTTGAAAGACATTCCTTCATCAAATGCTGATAATCTACCTTAAAAAAAGGGCCATGCAATCATGTTGAAATCTGAAACCTAGTGAAGACATCCCATGGGTCTCCTGGGATCTCATATTTCAATACTTTATTTTGTGGCATTCGTAAATACGAGCTTGCTGATGCAGGATGATGAAATATTTGAATATAGTGATGGAAACAGAAATAGAAAGGAAAAGGAAAACCCAATTCACTGTTCAAGGTTAGTCGTTCTCACTTTAAATTTCACATTTCACATAGCCTGTTGCTTTTATCCTCCAACTATGGTTTGCAGGTATGCTTTGTGTGCTCTCCAACAAAGGCCAAAATTGAGCCCATCGCCTCAAAAGAAAAGAGAATGAACAGACACTTGGGTGGAACATCAAGTGTCACTAACCCAATTGGGTGATAGAGAATGAACACAATTTTTTGGGTGGAAGACTGATATTAATTAGATCCTCGCTTTCCAACTTGTCCATGTACCAAATGGCCCTTTTGGTTATGCTTTCTTGGGTTAATAAAAAAATTAAGCAAATGATGAAGAACTTTTTGTGGGGCTTGAATGGGGACCAGAAGAAGTATCCCCTAGTAAGTTGGGAAAGGGTTTGCACACCAAAAGGGGAAGGTGGTTTAAGAATTTGTAGAATCAAACTTATGAACCAAGCTCTAATTTCTAAATGGTGGTGATCTTTGGATCAAGGGGATAAATTGTGGAAGCAGGTTCTCATTGTTAAATATGGGGTAGATCTTTTAAACAAGTTTATTGCAAGAGGAAACTCTGGTGGAATGAGGCAGTCTCATGTGTGGAAGTCAATAAATTCCATGAGAACTTTCATGCTCCGTCAAATTAGGTGGAATGTGAAATAGACGACAATATGTTGTTTTGGCATCAGAAATGGGAACAGAGGAGACTCTTAAGTTCGAATTTCCAGATTTGTTTCACAGATGTTCAAATGAGATGGCTAAGGTGAGTGATATTGGATTCATAAATAGTCGTGATGTTATATGAAATATTAATTGTCACTATAAGCGTATCCCCAATGCGGTTTTTAACCAATTAACTGAATTGTTGTAGCGTTTGGTAAATATTCGTCTTTTTTTGGAGGCTAACAATGAAGCAGTTTGGGTACTTCAAAAGAATGGGAATTTTTCAGTAAGATCTACTTATTCTATACTTTTCCATGATCATATTAGATGGACCCAGCCTGACCTTAGAGATATTTGGAAATGGAGGATCTTACTTAAAGTTAAAGCTTTCATTTGGGTTATGACGTAAGGAAACGCTTTGACTGTGGACAACCTTTATGTCATTTCTCTTACCACATTTGACAATGGGCTATGTACCATATTAGGGTAAATATGTACCATGCACATTGATAGCTGTTTTCGGAAAAGCAAACTATCTTTCAGGATGAAATGTGTGAATGTGTGAAAGATAATCCCTATGCACTATCGAGTAATGGATTGCAAAAGGTCTCGGTAACCATAGTTTGTCTCTAGGGAAGAACTTGAAATTCATATACTGGGACTACGACCTCTTGCCCATTAACTATACTTTGACGACCCACTAATTATCCCTTGCATGGACTGTGGGTCATGGGCAACGCTGGGTTGGTTTGAGAAAGCATGGGTGTTCCGTGATCCACAGTTGAAGGTGGAACGCCCCAATGCACATTTATTCCTAAACCATATGGATCATTTTCCCTTCAAAGTATTTAATTATGTTTATTTAATAATATATGTTTTTTAGAATTGTTATTTGAATTTTGTCTAAATAGCTGGATATTTTTATTTATCAAATTTGGATATATAAAAACATAGATATTGATTTTATATTGATTTAAATATTCAAATATGATTTTATGCATTTCAAAACATCATAATATTTATTTGATATTTTTATATTGTATGGGAGGCACGACAATATAAATGGGCCCACCATGACAATTTGGGTGGGGCCCATTATGTGCCATCTAGGATGGCATGCCCCACCTTGAGGGCTTTCCAATTTTGTGGCGCTCAAGCTCTAAAGCTTAAGGAAAAAGAAAGTGATGTTTTAGAAAACTTAAGCTTTGAGGAAATTTTGAATAAACTTTGGTATGTAAGAAAATGCTTATATATAAAACAATAAAGGATAATATTATCATATATTAATTTTTTATTTGAATTAATTGATGTGAAAAATGGTTTAGGAAGTGTGGGATAATGGTTCTAGGACATTCCATATGATATTGACGGCCTACTTATGGAATGGACATTTCATATCTCTCACCCCGTAAGTCACCCAAGGTCAATTATGCATATTTAATTTCACACGAAGAGGCAAGCCATGGAAAACTATAATAAACCTTAAAACCCCTTAAAGCACAATAAAAAATGAATGGACCTTACCCAATATTTTTTACATCATATCTCTCACATCTAAAAAATCTTCCTCCTCTCTCTCCCATAGAAAAAGGAAGGGGCATGCCCCTAGCAAGAGTTGTCTCTCTCTCTATAGTTTGTAAAAAAAGGAGTACATACCATCTCTTGAGAGTCTCTCTCTCTTGACCAAAGTAGGGGCACTCACACATAAAAAGCTCTCTCTTTGTTGAAAAGTTTCACTCTCTCTCCCTAGTGCAAACTAAGGGACATGCCTTACTCTCTTGATCGCTTGGAGTTCTCTCATCTCTCCTATCTCTCATCTTGTGTTGGGGCTAAGATTTAGAATGTAGTAAAAGAGATTATATTTCTCTTGACTATGTTATCAATGAGGTTCACTTATATTTGAGTTTTGTGATTGAAAAGGGGGTTCATGTTCCATTGGTTTGGCTTAACCTAAACTTGCTTTTCTAGTTGAAATTGAAAGTTGATCATTGATTCCGTGCCATTATAAGATAGTGACTTGGTGTGTAGTGTAAGAAGCTTAGTTGAGATAATCTCCGACATTCTTTTTTATTTTTTGGATATTTTTTATTGTGTTTTTTATTCCCAAGCATAAGTTGTGTATTTTCTTTATTACTGAAAGAAATGTTTTGAATGGATTCAAGTTCTTGAGATTCTAGTTGTATTATTTTTTTTATTTTATTTGAAGTTGCTTTACTGTAAATGGACTACTTGTAAGTGATCTAAGCAGGGAAGAAAAAGAAAAAGAATTGACAAAAAAATAAAAATAAAAAAAAAAAAATAAAATAATAATATATATATATATATATATATATAAAGTAATATATACATGTTAGCTCAATGGCGTACTGCTACAGTAAACGCCAATGGCCCAGATTGAATTTAGGCCGATCTGACGATCCTGAATGTCCGATAGTGTTTGAATTTTAATTTTGTTTCTACAAATTGGAATGAATTGAAATTTGGAGTGTGTGTATATAAAAAATAGGTGAATTTTTAAAAAATATATAAAAAATATTTTGCATGAAAAATTTAATCAAAATACCCCTGTAAAATTTTAGGGGTATTTTGGTCAATTTTGTTTTACGGATTATTGTTTTTATATTTTTATTAGGTGCGTCTTGATGAAAAGAATACACACGTAAAATATTAAGTGATTTGGATTTATAAAAAAAAAAATTAAAATTCAAACACAAAAAGATATCGTGACCGTCAGATTGGCCTAGATTCAATCTGGACCATTGACGTTTACTGTAGCGATCAGCTAGTGGGAATACTGAATCCACTATATATATATATATATATATATATTCAATACTAAGGTTCGATGTCTTTAAGTACAGTGGATATATTCGATGCGAAGAGACCCCATGTCTGTATATGTCGAATCGGGCGTGCCTTTTCATTTGGGATACCCAAAATGAACTATGTTCTGTTCTTAATAAAAAGTGTTTTGATTGTAAAACATGAAATATATAATAATTTTTTTAATATGAAAATAAAATTGGATTTATCAGTAAATATACCTTTCGTGTTTTTGAGAAAGGTAATGCACGTGCACGATTCTCCAACCAAGAAATGAAACAAAAAAAGAAATCCATCATTAGATTTTAATATAAAAAAAGAAAACCACAATACTTTGAAATATCGAACTCCAATTAATATTTTAGCAAATTCTATTAAAAATCACGTAAAAAAAAAACTTAGTAAAATACGAAGTCACAAATACAACGATATTCAATTATCGACTTTGTCCGTGTAAAATTTTAATAAGGGAGATTTTAGTGTCTACATCATCTAGACCTTCAAGAACTTCCCAATGCTTCATACTAGAAAGGAAAGAAAATGGAGAATTATGATTGTATTTGTTGGAAATTGTGGTGTGAAATAGGAGAGAAAATAAAATGGTTTTACAAACTCTTTTGGAGGGTTCTTTCACAAGACAATATTTGTTTCTTACTAATAAATATCAATGTGTACCTAAGTTTCTCAGACATATATGTCATCGAGATATAAAAAAATAAAATGTTAAAAACTAGTATGCCTGCACAAATGCACGAGTATATCAAGACTTACCTAGAGATAAACCCAAAAAATGACCCAAAGGCGGTACCAAACCTTTTATAAGCCCTGGATAAACTTTTAAGCCCTGGATAAACTTGATGAAGTCGATTTTAGACATGATAAACCCAAAAAAATTGACTAAAATACCCTTCTCCCAGTTGGATTAGCGGTAAGATTAATTCCATAAATATCAACCTTACCCCTAGGCCAGGCCCATAAATATCCCTTCGGATTAACAACAAAATATAAGGAAAACATTAAAAAATCCTTAAAAAAAAAAAACCTGAAAATTATAAAATAGCAAAGAATTCTTTAGAAAGTCATAGAAATTAGGAAAAAGCATAGAACATCCTAAAAAGATTATAAATAATTTGAAAGATTTGAAAAAATTCAAAATATATTAGAAGTTCTTAGGAAAACCAAAAAACCAAAAAACCAAACCTTAGAAAACAATTATCTACCTTTAAATCTTTAGGGAAACTCTTGATCTAGGAGCCCTGATACTTTTTTCAGCCCTGGAACTTCAAATCCGTGATATTTCAACCAATTTACAACAATTTTTAGCAATAAAGAACATTCAACAAAAGGAGGTGGTGGCGAATAAGGGCTTGATCCAAGCCCCGAAACTCCGGTTTTTAGGTCTTTTGAGGTAAATATTTTTTTAATTAGTTATTTCTCTTATTTTAGTTTATTAGCATACTTTTGTTTTAGGAATTTTACTTGAATTTAAGCATTTTAAAGATCTAGTAGTTAGAACCTACAGCCCTAAGTCTAGAAAAGTTAAGATCTGCTAGACTTGTTCTAGATCTATAATTTGAGCAGCCTCACTTTTCTATCGATCCCTTCATTTTTTTAACCCATTTTGTAAGGATTTAAGCTGATCTTACATCAAATACGTGCATAAACAACATGATTTACCTTTGTTTTAGAGATGAAGTTCACACAAAGTTCAAAAACATGATAGGTTAGTGTGGAAAAATCGGAGTAAAAAAATCAGATACATTTATAATATTAGAAATTTTGAAATTTTAAAAAATAAAAATTATGTCAAAGCCATCAATTACTAATTCATCTATAAAACTTTACAAGACTAATATAATTAAGTCAATTAATTTAGATGTCTCGTGACTCTCATTCAATTATCCAATATTAAATAGATAATTAACTAATATATACCAAAAAAATGTACCATATAAATCTACCTCTTAAATACTTTAAGAAACATCACACCTACTTATAACATACAAAAACAAATATACTATATAAATTTATTTATTAAAATACTTTAATTATGGTATAGTGACAAGTATGCCATATGAATTTATTCATTAAATACTTAAACATCACACCTACTTAGCAAGTACAGAAAAAAAATACACGATTTCTGTTTTCTCATTACAATGATTTAACTATGGTATGGTGATTATGGTCACTCCATAACTATAGTTAAGGTTTTATAAATTTTTTTAATTGAAAAAGAGGCTTATAGAAATTTGGGTTTACATCTTTGTTTACGGTTTAGAGAGAGAAGAAGGCTCGTAGAAATTTGGGTTTCACCATCTGTGTTTACAGTTTAGAGAGAAGAAGAAGGAAGAGAAGAGAGAAGAAATAAGGTAGAAGGAAGAGGGAAAAAAAGAAAATAGGGCTGGGCTCATAGCCATTAGGATTTATAGAGAGAAGAACAAGGAAGAAGAAAAAGTTTATGGGTTTCACAAACCCTAATGGAAGAGGCCTTGATTTTTAGAGATAGAAAAGGAAGAACCCTAATGGAAGATGCCTTAACTGATTTTTAGAGAGAGAAAAGGAAGATGAGATGCTGATTTGGGATAATTTGAAGAGGGTTTTCTCTCTGATTTGGCATAATTTGAAGAGGGTTTTTTATTTTCTTGGCAAAACATGATAGGAGGGCTTTTCATTTTCTTGAAAAGACAACAAGCAGAGCTGAAGGATTAAGTTTGGGGAACTAATCCTATATGTACAATTGTTTGCTCCTGTGAATATACAGTTTACACAATCAAAAATAAAATATTGATTACTTGGTCCTGTAGTCACACTCTCTGCTTCTCATTCCTCAGTAAAAGACAATGTTTTGAGCTCTAATTTGTGCCATAAACAATATTTTCATAAAAACAATTATCACAAATAATCACAGAAATATACATGTATATGATTTTTTTACAAAATGATTTACTTTACAAAATGATTTGCTATAAACAGTATTTCATTTACACAATGATTTTCCAGATTAACAACTGATATTTACATCTATTTGTTTAAGTTTTTTAAAAAAATTCATACCATCAATTTGCAACTGTAGTTTTGAAGAACCCAGTGGGGATAAAAGTTTCTATTTTAGGGTTTTTTTTAAATAATTTTTTTTCAAAAGCATGAAAGTAGCAACGGTTGCAATACACAAAATAGGAAAAAAAAACTTTTTTTTAAAAAATATAGGTAAAAAGGGATACGATTTTTTTGCCTGATTTAAATCGTATTATGAAAAAAGTGTTTTAAACGGTTTTATGAAAACGACGCTATTTTTTCCGAACTTTTCAAAAAGTCGCCATTTAAAACTAACCGTTTCCATTAAAACGCCAACTTTTTGAAAAAATCACCGATTTTTTAACTAAGGTTTGGATTATAGCTCAAAATGCATTATGGTAATAGCACTATTGGGCAAATCACATTTATTAGCGCTACCAAAATGCAATGTTGTTAGATTCGCTTTGAAGTCTTTTTTGATTTGGTGAGAAAAATGAAAGTCTTTTTTGATTTGGTGAGAAAAATGAAGCAATTCAGTGTTTCAGCAGATTTTATGGAAATTTTTGATTTGTTTTTTTCAATGTGATATAAATAAATTAGATATTTGTATAATAAAAATAAAAAAGTTTGCAAATAAAAATTACAAAAAATAGGAAATAAAAAAATACTTTTAAATAGATACTTATTTGCTTCGGCCGAATTGATAAGTCCGAAGCTGACCGAAGTGACAACACCAAGCTTCTTTTCACTTCAGTCTAGCCCAATTTCACCGTAGCGACAATACCAAGCTTATCTTCGCATGAGTCTAGCCCAATTTGACTAAAGAGACAACACCAATATGTGTACATACTTATTTTTACATGGGCCATCTTTTATGGATTACTTTCGAACTACTCTCACTCGTGAGTTGATTTTTTAAAGGGTGCTGTTTGTATAGAGTCGAGACTCTAAACAATCAAATTAGAGCCTAACTTTAAATAGCGTCGAGAAATATGATTTTAATACTAGAAATTTTTGTAATAGCTTTAAAATATATTTTTATTTTTAATTATAAAATTTAAAACTTCAAAAAATAGTGTAGATAGAGGAGATCTATAAAAAATTGAAAATATTGAAAATTGACAGTAAAAAAATGTGTTACAAGATGCAATTTGATTGTTTAGAGCCTAGGCTCTATATAACCTTTTTTCTTTTTTACAATCTATTTTTTGACTACTTTTTTAATCACATTTTGATGTGTTTTTCTTAATTTTACTTTAAACATAAAATTTTTAATTACTAACTTTTATAAATTTTTTTAATTTTTTTTTGCTACTAGCCCTACTAGATCCGAGCTATTTGGAGTCGGGCCGAATAATCTGATCGGGCACAGGCCGACTACCCGTCCCGAACAGTCGTTTCCAACGCTCCAGATGCACAACAAGGCGCCTCTGCAAAATGCAAAGTACGTCTCGACTGTTGACACTGTTCCCCAGTATGTGTCCTCCTTTCTAGTTTCTCCTCCCTCTCAAACCCTAACCTATTCTCCCTCGTCTCTCATTTATTGCCCTCTGATGAGCTTCGTCTGTGCTTTGAAGTTGCAGGAGGAGAGAGGGATTGGTGGATTTAGGTGATCTTGGATTAGGTTTTCTGAGAAGGATCTTTCTTCTCTCTCTGTTTGTTTGCGTGTTGATAGTGTGTCCGAGTTTTCTCTCTTTTACTGAAACCCCAAACCCACTCACTCCAACACATCACATTCTCTCTCTTACCGAAACCCCTAGCCAATTTACTCCCTCTAACACTCGCACTTTCTCTCTCCAGTTCTCCTCCATTCAATCTCTATAACTCTCTCTCTCTCTCTCTCTCTCTACACTTTCTCTGGACTCTTTGAAGAGTTTTCAAAGAATGGAGGGAGGGAGGAGAGAGACTTCTTATTGCAAATTGGACAAAACCCGTTATTTGTGAGTGCATGAAGCATGTTGTTTGTGAGTTCCATTTTACAATATTGGGGAAGGGAAATAACTTCTGAAAATTTCTCAATTTTCTGAACTTAATAATGCCCTGTTCCATTGACCTCTATAAGCTCGACTTGTTTTCCTAATAGGGCAGTTTGCCCTTTGAATTTTTGTTCTTTGCATTTTCTGTTCTACAAATTAAGGTATATTGTTCTACTTTATTGGGTTTTTGTTTACTGATTGTTATAACAATTGATCACAGTTTCAATTACTGTTACTTGGTTAAGAAGATTTGCACATTCTTTTCTTTTCATTTAGTAGTTGGCATAAGTGGGCATTGATTATCCTTGTTTTAATCCTCTTTGAGAGGCTAGGATTTAGGAATTTTTATGTTATTTTTAAGGATTAATCTATGCCTTGATCATATTTGCCAATATTCTTGTACTGGAATTTATGGTTATATGTTTTATTTCATATATTTCATTTGTTAATTTGCATAATTCGATCTTGCACTCAAACACACACACTAATAACTGTTCCCCAGTAAAAAAATTCCATATATTTGTACTATCTTTTGTACCATGACCTAGCGCTGTTAGGAGTTTTTTCATTTTTCTGTTTATTATTCATTTCCATACAACTCCATGTCTACTCTTAGGCGTATATGGAATCATATTGTATATTTTCTTAATAAAAAAATAAACAGATTTCTATTGCACTATGTTTTTATGTATTCTATCTAGTTTGCGATCGTCATGTATATTCTTGTTGCATAACACTAGCCCATTTACTTGCTGTTCCATAACAAAACCTCTGTTGTATTCCAATTTCTTGAAAGGGCGTTGCAAATCTCATCTCATCTTTAAAAAAAATAAAATAAATCTTATCTCATCTACGGTTTCATTAGTTTGGAACACCTTTATAGAGAGTTGTTCACTAGTTTTGTTACGAATATCTGTGGAAATAGTGGCTGGACTAATTTCTTGCTGATGTCTAGCAATGGGGCAGCCTTCCTTATTTTCTTTTTTTTTTTAAATAACTTGGGCTTGTCTTTGTTCCCAGGTCATCATAATTTAACTTTCAATGAAGAATCCATATTTCAATGATGTTATAAGGTATCCAAAGAAATTGTGTAGATTTTGTTTATAAAGCACTGACCATATTTTCAACGGATATATAGCTTTCAATGGACAATTGAGTGAAGGAATGCCCTGTTTATGATGAAATTATAACAAATGTGAAGGGACACTGTGAGATGTAAGATGCTTGAACTTATTTGTTATTTTCATAAATGATGACTATGGATTATTGTGTATGACCATATGTAATATGGATGATCTCTAATTCATGCAAGATCTTTTTAATTTGTATCCAAACTTCCCTCGTGTTGAGAGGTTGTGAACGATAATCAAATTATGTGTGATCTATGCCGTCCATTTTATTGGACCTACTGTGGATGGGCTATGATTTCATAATCTCATTGATTTAACAGATGTTATACCCTGTCATCAATGAAAAACTACAATAAATAGTTAAAACTAGCTGATTTCTGGACTCCAGGTTCATAAAATTCCAGGTTCAACCATCCAGAGGTCTCCGGATTTCTTGACAAGTTGTCAAGCATAATATTTTCCATTACCAGGTATCAAAATTTCCTGTCTCCAGATCTCAGCACTAGAAATCCCAATTTCCATTTCCAGCTTCCAATTGCCAAACATCCCTTGCATAACACTATTCCATTGACGTTTGAGCATCGTTTTGGTTCCTGTAGTTTTTAGCTACATAATTTTAGTTTCTGAATTTCATTTAATTACTCATATCCTATTACATATTTCTTTTCTCTGGTATCCTTACTTAATTTCTTTTTAATACCTTTCTGTTTTGCCGTTGTCATTGTTTTGAGCATTGAATGGTTTCTTTCTGTGCAGAGAGACCATGGTGCGATTCACTCACTATAATTTCACCTTCAGAACCCTAACCCTAACTACCATCATTTCTCTCTTCTCTTCCTCTTCCTTAAAAAATGGCGTCCATTCATCTCCCTTGCCTCTGAAGCTCTTTCAAAACCCCACATTTTCATCATCCAACAACATCCATAAGAAGAAGAAGAAGAAGAAGAAGAAGGAGAGTGCAAGAACCATGATGGTCCAGCCATTGTTGCAGAGGAACGATGTCCTGGAAGCCATTGTAGAGAGAGACTCATGCTTTCGGTTCTTGACCAGAACAAAGGATTTCCTTTCTAAACAACCAGAGCAAGTGCTCCAACTCGATGAAGCAGGTAAAATGCACAGAGATTTAGGGTTTCCAAGGGGTCGAAAGGTTGCTAGATCAATAGAGAGGCACCCTTCTCTGTTGCAGTTTCACAGGCACACAGACAACAAGATGTGGTTTGGTTTCACACCATTAATGGAAGATTTGTTAGAGGAAGAGAAGAAGATCATGGATTCGATGGAGAAATCTAGGGTTAATGTGGTTCGAAAGCTTCTCATGATGTCTTCTAAGAAGCGATTAGCTATGAGCAAGATCAACCATTGCAGACACCTCTTTGGAATCCCCGATGACTTCAGAGACCGAGTTCACGGATATCCAAAGTATTTCAGAGTCGTTCAGGAAGGTGAAAAGAGGGTTCTCGAGCTCACGAGTTGGGACTCTTCTCTATCAATAAGTGCCCTAGAATCTGAATTCATGGTTGACGAAGATAAAGTCAAAAAAGCTTTTACCTTTCCAGTACCTCATGGCAAGCATTTGAATCTGGGAAAGGAAGGAACAAAGAAGTTGAACATGTTGAATTTTCTTCCTCTGGTTTCGCCTTACTCTGATGGGTCAGGATTGAAGCTCTGGTCTATAGAGGCTGAGAAATACAGGCTTGGGGTTATCCATGAATTCCTTAGCTTGACATTGGAGAAGAGGGCTTCAATACACCATCTAGTGGAATTCAAGGAAGAATTCAATCTTACTAAGCATACATATCACATGCTTTTGATTCAACCAAGGACATTTTATCTTGCTGGTACAGAGATGAATTGGACTGTGTTTTTGAAGGATGCTTATGACGAGAATGGCTTGATTGAGAAGGACCCACAAGTGCTTTTCAATGAGAAGTTATATAGATATGCTGGTATAGGGAAGGGAACTAAAGAAGGTAGAATTGTAGAGCCTGCCCATGAAGCTTATTGAAGATTTTGACTCTAGCATGCTTATGCTTGAATGGTTTAGTGTCCCACGGTGAACCCATCAAAGAAGATGAAGAATGGAAATTAAAACTTTGTTCTGTGTATAATTACAATGGGAGCTTCTTGAGTGGGGAACAGAATCAGCTGTATTTCATGCCATGGTCTCAATTAAAGAGCTATTCAACTAAGTGAACTGCATGTGTAAGTGCCAATATGGGAATTCATTCTTCCTTTATGATTGATATACCAACATTTACGTTGAGGAGAGTTTTATGAAAACCATTACTGTGAGGAAGTCTTGAATTGATATGCCAACATTCATACTTTTAGGTGGCCTTTTCGCATGCGTGTATAAAGTTTTGCTATCTATAGGTCTTAGATGATAACTGTTAGCTCTGATACTAATGCTGAGTGAGAGTTGAGGTCGTAATAGTCTTTAGATTTGGTGAAGGGTTTTGCTTATGTTGTGAGGCATTTGGGACAACAAACCCATACACTTTGGGTTTTTATCTCTTGAACACACCAATAACTTTATTTCTCTGTCTGTCTATGGGTGCTAAGTAATGCAATGACCAAACAGGGTTTTTATCTCTTGAACTCACCAATAACTTTATTTCTACGTCTGTCTATGGGTGCTAAGTAATGCAATGACCAAACAGCATTATATAAAGCTTCAAATCCAGTATCCTATTGACCAATCTTATTGAGTAAACTTTCACCTGAAGTGAGATATAGATAGATTAGAATTCCCTTTGTTAAGTGTAAAATCAATTGGTAGGCATGCTCACAGAGGCTCTTGGGGAGAATAAGTGAGAAGTCATTCTAGGCAAGCTAGGAATGATAGGTATCTAGGCACCAGCTCAAGTGGATTGTCAGCAGGGATATGTTTTTATGGGTAGTTAACTGTTTGAAGAAATTGTAGAACATATGCTTTATTTGTAACAAGAACACCTCAGTCCAATTATATTGTGTACGCCTATGTAATGAAACTACTGTCATCGGAGTTTGATGTGACCCAAAGCTTCTTTCCAAACAACTCTTATTTTCCCTTGTGCAATGAAACGCTTCTTCCACATATTTGTCACCCTCAAGTTGGTGTTAATAATTAATTTAAAGTTATATTTCTTGTATCATTGAAAAGAAAGAAGGTGGTGAGAGCATCAAACAATTGATGGTATCTTATGATCTTTTGGCAATCTGGCGGGTGGACTTTTGAGGCTTGAAAGCACTCTGAACAACTTGAACTTCAGCTAGGGCGTGTTTGATAACAGGAAGTTATTTCCTAGAAGTAGGAACTTACCTGTTACTGTAGCTCTTTTGTGTTTGATAAAAGTTGGTAAGTTTAAAATGGAAAGTTCATGGAACTGAAGAACTTCCCCTCTTAAGCTTAAAAAAACTTTTGGCTAAATCTACGGAACTTGAAAATGGAAGATTTGAGGGAAAGTTCATCTCGATGAAAAGGCCATCCCACCAGCGTGAAAGAGCCCCGTTTCAGAAAAAAACCCTAGCCATAGCCGCTTCCTCTCGACAACCCTAGTTGCTTCCTCTCCCCAACCGCCAGCTTTCTCAGCTCTCTTTCTCTCTGACAAAGCTCTCTCTCTCTCTTAAGAAGAGCGCATCTGTCTTTTGCTCTCTCATATGTAGCAGAAGAGGAAGAAAGAAGCAGGTGCCCCTCCCGGGTATGATTTCCCTCTCTCTCTCTCTCTCTCTCTCTCTCTT